AAAAGTATTAGAATAATTATTAATTATTATTAAAAATTATATATTTAATATTATTAATTTTATTTATTTATTTATTTTATTTACAAATAACCATATTTTAAATTAAAATTATACGATAATTAATAATATTAAAATTTATATTTAATAAACATACGATTTTATCGTTTCAAATTGTATAATAAAAAATGTCATCTAATAATTTTGATAAAATCATTAATGAAATATATAATTTATATAACCATGATTTAAAAATTGAAAAAATTAAAAGATATATAAAGAAAATAAATACAATTCAAATGATATTATTAAATATTGTTTAAAAAATCAAGATAATTCAAAAAATTTATTTACTATTGGAATTTGTTATCAGAGTGATATTAGTGTTGAAATAAATAATATTAAAGGGTTTGAATATTATCAAAGATCTGCAGAATTAAAAGATGTTAAAGAAATACTTAAAGTTGCATATTGTTATAGAGAAGGACTTGGAGTTGAAATCAATAAAGAGAAAGCATTTATTTATTATTTAAAAGCTGCAAATATGAATTCTGATATAGCTATAAATAATGTTGGTTATTGTTATGGTGAAGGAATTGGAGTTGAAAAAAATGAACATAAAGCATTTGAATATTTCAAAAGATCAGCAGAAATGAAAAGTGTTAATGGACTATATAATGTTGGTTGTGTTATGAAAATGGAATTGGAGTTTGTAAATCAGAATTTTTTGCATTTATATATTATCAAAAATCTGCAAACATGGGACACATTATGGGAATATATAATGTTGGATTCTTTTACAGTAAAGGGATTAGTACTGAAATTAATAAAGAAGAAGCATTCAAATATTTTAAAAAATCTGCAGATTTAAGATTTAATAAAGGAAAATTTCAAGTTGGATACTGTTATCAATTTGGATTAGGTGTTGAACAAAATAAAGAAAAGGCATTTGAGTATTATAAAAAATCTGCAGATTTAAATATCATAATGGAATTCGTAAAACAGCATTGTGTTATTTAGAAGGTTTTGGTGTAAAAAAAGATGAAGAAAAAGCTTATATATATTCTAAAAAATCTTCAAAAAAATATTATAATTATTAGATATATTTTTTATTTCATTTATATCAATATTTTATATGTTAACAATGTAAATGCAAATACATTTATAGTTTTATTATAAGAAATTATACAAGCAAAAAAAAAAAATATGCAAGTAAAAAAAAATTACAATGCAAGAAAAAAAATCTAAGTTTATTATTCATTCAATTCATATTGTTTCAATTTTTTCTTTAAACGTTTTGCCTTTAATTCCTCTTTGGCTTCGATTAATTCGTTTTCAAGTTCTTTTTTTCCTAAGTATTAAAAATAAAAAAAAAAAAATAAATAAAGTAATAAAAATATTAAATAAAAAAAATATATATATATAAATACTTTTTTTCAATTTTAGAATTTGTTGCTCAACATCGAGAATGCCATCTTCGATATATTCGATAGGTCGTTTTCTTTTAATTTCTTTAACTTGTAAAATAGGAGAAGAAGTACCATTAGTTTGTGAGATTGAAGTGGTAGTGGTGGAAGTGCCATTTGTTTGTGAAGAAGGAGTAGTGGTAGTAATATTTTCATTGGTAAGATCGACAGGAGAATTTTCAGTTGGTGTAGGTGGTTTGGACATATTGAAAAATAGAATTTTCTTAAGATATTATATATAGCAAAATTTGTGACGTTTCAAAAAAAATTTCAAGAAAAAAGTTGGTATATATTTTAGAAAAAAAAATTGAAACGTCACAAATTTTGCTGCGCATAACATCTTTATGATATTCGAAAATTTTAAGTATTGTATCATACTATTAAATCTATCGATATACATCATTCTTAAAGTTATCGTAATTATTGATAAACATTATTTCTAACATCACTAATTACGATAACTTTAAGAATAATGTGTATCGATAGATTTAATAGTATGATACAATACTTAAAATAATCGTCATTATATAAAGTTTTATAGATATGTACATACGACAATTTATATTTTTAATTTTTTCTTTTATTTATATAGACAATATATGTTATAGAATAAAATTCAATAAGTAATACAAATATAAATAAATTTATAATATACGTATATAAAAATAAACTAAATTAATTAAATAAAATATTAATAATTAAAAATAATTACTTTAAAGAAAATTAAATATATGAAATAGTAAAATTTTCAATATCATCATCTTCATTGTGATAATAAGTTCGAATTTCAGCAATAATTAATCTATCATAAACTGTAGAATCTCTATAGATAATATATACACCAGTATCAATTATTTCAAAACATTCAATTCCATTAACAATTTTTTTCTCTAAAGATTTTCTGTTGAATTCACATGTATATGAATTTGGAATATTTTGTATTTTCTTATTTTCACACATGAAAAAAATATAATTATTAGTTCTATTTATTCCACAGTGACTAATTTCATATTGACGTGGTTTCAATTTTAAAAATTTTTGATTTTTATAATAAAAATTATAAGTCAAATCATTATCGATTAAAAACCATTTTCTTTCTTTAATAGTCATAGTAATTCGTGGTGAACATGAATTACCATCTTGTTCATAATAAAAATCATCAAGATTTAATATTTCATCATTTTTTTCAAAAAAACACATTTTTTGTAAGTCACTATAATTTTCTAATTTAATAATAATTGATTTCAAAAATTCCTTTTGTTCTTCTTTATTTTTGTATTCAAACAATGATTTTGAATTAGGAAAATCTAAAAGATATTTTTTCATATAATCTGGAAAATCTTGTCGGAAATAAACTTTTCTATTATTCATCACAATATGACCATCGATATTTTTATTATGTACTTTACCAATATTATATTTTCCTTTTCTATATTCAACATCTCATTCCATGTTATGAAATTTTCTTTCATCACCTTTGTGAAATATCATTTTTGTTGTTCTTCTTTTTATATTATCATTCCATTCACCAGTAAATTCAATGATATAATTTAAATGAGTATATAAAAATTGACCAGTATAATTTCTTCTATCAAGTAATTCATTATCTGTAATAAAAATATATTTTGTAAGAAATGAAATCGATTCATTAGGATTAATTTCTATAAAAGTTTTTTCATCATTTAAAAGATAAACAAGAGACGTCCAATAAATTTTTGTATTATATTCATCAAATAATACAAATTCTTGTCCATTGTAACCAGTCCAATAGTCAGGTTCTAATTTTGCTTTTTTTGGTTTGTAGTATAATTTATCACCAAATAATTCAGTAACGAATTTAGATTTTCCACTTTCAGAAGATCCACAAAGATAAAATACAACAGGATAGTTATATCTTTCTGTTGTTTTATTAACAATTTTGATATTTTGTAAATTTATGTTTTCAGACATTTTTTTATTTAATTTATCATTCCTAAAAATTCATGTTTATTTATATTTAAAAAAAATAATAATATCAATTTATTTAATTAAAAATAATATATAAAATACAATAACAAATAATTAAAATATTAATATTAATTGAATAAATTAATAAACTTATCTGTTGCAAAAATAATAGTTTCTTTAAAATAA